AGTTTCTTAAAAAAAAAAAAAAAAAAAATTGTCATGTTATAATTCCAACTTCATTCAAAGCTTACAGAATCCAACAAAAGATTTAAAGACAGAATTACATTGTATCTTAAAGGCACTGAAGGCTGACTGCAAGAGGAACTGCTACCTGCTGCAGTTTGCAATGTTTCAAGTGCTTTAGTTGTGAATTAGTATAAAATACTGTTTTTGTAATTATATGTAGAAATGCACTTTGAACAGAGTTCATAATTTATGAATGGTTATAGTCAGAGAAAACAGTACAAAATGTATCCTTCCCTTACAAAATGTGTCGCCTTCCTTTAAGGAAAAAAGGGAAAAGCCAACAAAAAACCCAAGCAAAAAAACTTACCAAAGTTCATTTTATCTCTGTTGTTTGCAATAGCATGAATTAGCCCAATTGTTCCACAAGCATTGTTAATGGTCTGCTTCATGAAATACACTGATGATTTCACGTCTTGTCCCTTAGCTTTTATTCTCTCTTCTTCTTCTGTTCTGAAGGTTTCATACTAGAAAGAAAGTTAAAGACATTTCACAAATAGTACAAATAGCTACATTATCAAGCAAAAATAATTTATAAAAAGCAACACTTAACTAATATTGTATTTTGAAATATTTAATGTGTGTGGTCCAACAGGTATACATAAACTTACTCACCTGAACAGCTCTATATTGTTCATTAAACCAATGCCTTGACACTAATCGAAATACTGTCACATCTGAATCATGTGTAATCTAACATAACTTCAAAAATATATTTAAATTATTTCCTTGATCTCAGCACCTGTCATCATCTCTCTTAAATTCAACAAAAGGCTTTTTAAGGACACAGGGTTCAAAGTGCTTTCAAGAAAACCGTGATACTTCAGGTGATTAATCATCATGAAGAATTCTTAAACGTTCCATCGTTACATTTCATTTCTCCCAGGAATATAAAATAAGATTTATATAAACCCAGGGCCTCAAAACAGGCCCTTCAAAAGCCATATTCATAAAATAAATATTTTCTGTAGTAAATATGAATTTAGTGTCTCTAAACAATTTTGTTCAATACTTGTTTTATAACTTATAAAGTTATACAAGTATAACTGTGACTTCTTCATAGTCTAAGTAATAGCAAGAGAATGACAAAGCATTTTAATTTGGCACCACTTATCTACAGGTTAACAAAAAATAAGCTTAACTGAGACAAAAATTTCATAGAGTTTAACTGGACAAAAAGTTCAGAGTAGAGAAGGTAAACAGTATAGCTGCCATTCATTCCCTGCCAATCAAAATAAACTCCATGGCAAAAAATAAATACATAAATGCTGAGAATACCAAAAATATAATTCTGAGCAAGGCATAGACCAGATCACCTCCTAAACTGAGCTATCCCATGATTTAAATTCGTTAGACCATGTCCAAAATGGCCAACACTCACAGTATTCACTTTGTCTACAAGCCACAATGCAGACTAAGAAAGCCATTGACCTTTAAACTGGACAACAACCCTGAAATTATCTGTATGCCAACAAGAGCATCTTGCCCTAAAAGCAAGTTAAAGAAAACTGATATATAGGAAACATGAAATAATGGAACTTCAGACAGAAGAACAAACATGTTAGAAAAGTGCTTGCAAAGGCAGCAAAATTAATTACGAGGCACACTTTCATAAATGTGGGCACAACCAAGAAGCAGAAACAAATAATAAATTAAGTAAAAACCTAATATTACAGGCCCTTCTGAATGGAAGGCTGAGGAGCGGAAAATTACTCCAGAAATACAAAATAATGCTCAAGGGTCTTGTGGAGTTCACACAGAACAAAAGGTTCAGAACATTGGGACCTCACATGAAAGAGTCAGCCTTCACACACTCAGGTTAAACAGTTGATAGAAACACTTGTGCCCCTTATGTTTCAGAAGGATTAACATGCTGAATATTTGGCTGGTGGACAAATTTGATTGATTGATGCAATAGAGCATATGTTTTTTTCCTCTGGTTTTGTTTGTCATATGTTTCTTCAGGATGAAACTGGATACACCCTCTGGAACAAGAGGAAGACTGTTCTTTCCACTGGATGATGCTCCCATAAACATGGTCCAAGAAAAGGTGGTTTGCATAAGCAGGGAGGCAAAACAAAAGTGACAATCATGAAAGGAGCTCAGACCTGTAGCTTGAACAGCCAGACACAAACTACAGCACACAGAAAACAATGCCTCAAGGGTGACAGAAAGGACATTTCCTGAAGACAGGGGAATGAAGAGCTTGCTTAAGTTCAAAACTATCAAGGTGGCTGAAATAAAGCTTGAAACGGACTGTCTGCATAGCTGTTTTGGAGAAACTGAGAATGCAGAGGTTTACAGGGCCTAATTTGTAAAAAAATCGACCCATCACTCTTCTCTGTA